AATTTTTTAATTTTTTGTCGTTTTTACTACAAAAAAATAGCTCGCCCCATTACATTTTATGTTTATTTCAATCCTGTAAAAGCGATTTTAATTCCGTTCAGTATTTTTGAAGTTATCATTCCAACTGCAAATGTCAGTACTCCAGCATCGTCTTAAAAGTGTAGATAATAATAAGAACTTAACTCTTACAATTTACGATGATTTTATAATTTACGTAGTTATAAGAAGCGGAAAGATTAGTTATGTAATGAAAATTGCAGTGATTTATGAAGAAAATTATTAAAATAATCACATGCTTATAAGAATGTATTTATAATATCGATGCAGCATATTATCGCACTTTAATTTAACAGTTAGCGTTAATTATTTATGACAAATTACTATAAATAATTAGTAATTATTATATTTGTCATTTGCTTAATATTTAAAAAATTTGAAATATTATAATTTTCTGTATTTAAATTTATTAAAAATATGAATCTATTGTAAAAATTATTCGAAAATATTTGTTATGAAATTTATTTTAAAATATGAGTCTTATAAATGTAACTTAAAATCAAATTATTGATTATTTTATCAAAAATATAAAATATAATATATTTGTATTAATAAACATGTGTTTTATATAGGTATATAAAATCTTTATAGACTGAAAGTATATTGGTGCTGATATAATACGTACATTGTTGTAATAAGATAAAATAGCACAAAGTAAATTTGACAAATATCTGGCTAAATGTTAAATTTTCGACAAGAGTTAAATGTCAGTTAAATGTACTACTTTTGTAACTTTGAAATGCAAACTTACCTTCTTTTGGCCGTATCCCAACTCGCGGCGATGAAATGCGAAATGACATAATCGGCAGGCACTATTTCTGCCACTTTGTCAGGATCACAATGCAAAGTGCGTAATATACCTATGGCACTGCCCATGACTACACCCACCGCACCATATATGTTGTTGATCCATCCATTCAATGGCTCCTCGGCCGTAGATGTTACAATCGACGGTCGTACGATGCAAACTGGAATTCCGATGCTGTACTGTCGAACAGTATCTTCAGCGATCGCCTTTGTATATGTATATGAATTCGGCCATTCACCTATTAATCTATTTTGTCCATAGTGTTATTCCCCTTGTAAAAAAAACTGGTCGAAAAATCCTGAACCATTTTTTTCTACAATGCTAAATAAAGCAATTACTATTGCTTCATTGAGCATTGCAGAGAAAAATGATTCAGAACTTTTTGACAGAATTTTTTATAAGGAGTAGTGCTACATAATTCGTGAGTGTTATTGAAGAATTATTTTTGTCTACAATGTTTAATGAAGCAATAATTATTAATTACTACGTAAGCAATAATTATTAATTAGTGATCGCTTTATTTAGCACTGTAGAAAAAAATGGTTCAGGAATTTTCCATATATATATATATATATATATGGATGTTTAAGTTACATCCGATATATCCATACGTTTCATATAAATATAGAATTATTTTTGTCTATAATAATTATTGCTTCATTAAACATTGTAGACAAAAATAATTCTATATATACATGGAATATATGGATACATCAGATATAACTTAAATACCGACTACTAATTATATAATGTTATTTCTTATAAGAAAGTCGAAAAGTCCTGAACCATTTAAAAAAAAGTTAAATGTTAATGTATATGTTTACTTTGCATGTATCTGATTACATTAATATTACGCAGCACATTTTTATAATCATAGCATAATTTTTATTTAATTACTTTTTTATTCCACGCAGTCAATGATCATAAAAATATAAAACAAATTTTCATGTTTATTTGATTTAAAAATTTCTTATAAACATATATTTCTATATATCTATTTTTTAATTGTAATCTCTTATGTTACACTACCGGTCTTAAGTTCAACTTCAGTAAATTTTTGCCAATTTTTAAACATATATATATATATATATATATGTTTATAAGAATTTTTTAAACCGAATAAACATAAAAATTTTTTTCATATTGTTATGATCATTGATTGCGTGGAATAAAAAAGCATAAATTGAATAAAAATTATGCTATAATTATAGAAATATGCTGCGTAATATTAATGTAATCAGATGCATGCAAAGCAAACGTACACATTAACATTTAACTTTCACTCTTGTAATTTTGTCAAAAAAGTATACTTACGTCGGCGTGAATTTGTCCAATTTTTCATCGTCCAAAATATCGAGTAAAGTCAAAATCTTATCCGTTTCTATAGGCGGAGGATAATATTTTTCTTCAATACAATTATGTACACAATAGGCAAATGCGCTGGATATATGGACGAACGACTAGAAAAGATTGAAAATTAAATAACTTTGCAATTTTTAATTACGAAGTAGAAAACTTGATTAAAGTTTTTTTTACATACTTTCAAATTCGGCAATTCTTTTGCGAAGAGAAGAAGCTGCTTCGTTCCTCTTACATTTATGTTCACCGCAATTCGCATTGTTTCGTTAAATCGTACAGTCGCTGCTGCGTGAAAAATTACGTTTGTGTCTAAAAGATATTTCCGACTTTCCTGCGACAATCCGAGATCTAACTTGCTTAAATCGGCTTCTACCATCATTACTTTAGTATTAAAATTAGGCTGCTCTTTCTTCAATTTGTCGTAAATCTAAAGATATTTTTTTGAAAAAATAATACAAAAATCTTTCTCATTTAATTTAAGTTTATATTGTATTACATTATACTATATACTTATTATTTATATATGATACTAACGGGGCAATCGAAATGCTCTTTGAACCTTTGTTCCGGTGTTTTATCTTTTTTCGCCCTCATGAATATGTATAACTTTCCTATATTCGGGCAGCATCTATAGATGTTATTTATTTATTTATTTACTTAATAAATTTACAAGAAATTTAAAGACAATCGATTTTTAACTCTACTTAATCTATTATACTAAAAATGGTGTAATTTGGCGTTAAAAATAATTTTGTGTTAGATTAATGCGGTTCAATGAATTATGCACATTGTTTCTGCATACTGAACTGCTTTGTATATTAAAACATCTTTTTACCGCAATAATTTTTCTATTAGAAGTATGCCGAGGAAACCGGAACCACCCGTTATTAACACGTTGCTTCCGGCGAAGAATTCAGGGATTTCGCTTTGAAACTCATTAGTGTCTGCAACATCCGACATGTCCAACATGTCTTCGAGATAGTTTTTGTTTCTCTGTGTCATCTCACTGGCGTTTCTAGGCGCGGCAGGAAATATTTCTCTAACAAGTAATTTGAATTATGGCCAATAAATATTTCTCTTGTGTTAATTTCACACTTGAAAAATCAACAAACAACAATTTACAATTTACAATCAATCGTCGCAATTACTCGGTTAATTCGTTCCAATGAACTGATTAACGAAAATTAGTTTCTATCAATTCGGCTTTCTATCAATTCTAGTTTATGTAAGAAATGCTCTTCCCAAAAATACTTCTCCTCATCGAAACGCGTAAAAACCAACGAACGCCGACAGGTTTCTTTTATAACGCGGGATACGATGGCTGATACGTGGTAAACGCGACCACAATCACGCCTCGACTGAGATAAAGAAATATAAAACGTCAGTATGAGCAAGAAAGCATAAAAGAAGGGGAACCGGCTGTTAACATTGAATATGGGCATGTGTCTGATACAGTAGTAGGAGATGATTGTTTAAAGGAAAGACCCCGAGAAAATTGCATTGACCGTCGCATTTTAATTCGACAATGACTAAACGAAAGAAGCTTCGTTTGTTAACACATATATACATGTTACCTTGAATCTTTGAACTTGAAATTTATACAGTTGATTATATAATTAAAGGCATTTTACATTTCATATGAGACGATTTCATTAACAGGAATATCATTTGAGCATTCTGATAAATAATGACCTGTTTTTTAATGACCAACATAAATAATAAACAAATAAATTTAAAAAGCAGCAAATAGAATTACAAATCAATTTTGAGTAAATAATGCAGAAACAGAAATGCGCAAACGTCGTCTTATCAAATTATCATATTTTTGTTTTTGTTTCTTATAAAAATACATGTAATAACTTGCGCACTTATTTAACAGAATTTACTTGTAATGCGATTAGATTTAACTTGTAAATAAAAAAATATCTGTTTTTTTCCATAATATATTATTTTCTCAAAAACACATTGTGAAGTTTTACATTTATGAGCAGAGAACATCTTAATTATAGCTTACCCAGTGAGAAATGGTTACCTATTCGATGTCGAATCAATGTCGAATTGTTGATATGATGATTTCGACATTAATTCGTCATCGATTCGATATCAAATTGAAAACAATTTCTCACTGGGTACCTTTTTTATATCAGTCTTAATAAATCCGGTTTTGAAATACCATTTTAGTTTTAAGGTAGTACACTCGCGACAGTACCATTCAAAAGTTAGGTCTCATCGCGCGCTTGGTACTGATATTCCCCACTCCCACCAATGAGAGAAAATATTTGGTTGCGCCTGTCCATAGACCGCACGCACACGCAGAAAAAAATTAATTCAGATAGACGCAGACTAACGCAGCGCGATTGGAGTGACGAATGTGACAACGTCGCACTGTCGTCGATAACTTAACCTCGTCCACCTAACCTCAAAAAAATTTTTTATCGCAACAGGTGATCATTTGCAAGGTAGATTAAAATGTCAGATAGAGTGCGATATCTAACCTCGAACGTCCCGAACCGAATGCGATATACGCGAGAAGTGCGGTGTTGCCAGATGCTCAATGGCCGCCTCCTTCACTTGCCTCCATATGTCAATCAAAATCGAAAATTATATTTTTTAAAAGGCTCTATTTTCCAAACTAAATGGTAGAAAATAATGAATTTTTTTCATAATATCCGTTTCATATCCCTTCATCACATACTCGTTTTTTATTAAAATCTCAATATTAGTTTAGGCCCTACAAAAATAAACGCGACATTTTTATCGACTTTATATGGGCGACACGTATAAAAAATGCAATTTTTAATTGCTTATATCTCAGTATTGAGATGGTCAATCTCATTCTAATTGCACAAGCGTGTCTTTTTAATAAGACAGATTAAGTAGAATTATATAAAATTGGACTAAAAGGATTTTTACAACGATAAAATACGATTATTAAATGAAATTATTGCTTTTACAGAAAATTACATTATTTTATCGGAGTAAAGAAAACATAGTTGCTTTTAAAAAAAATTGCAATTTTTATATATCTTTTTTGAAAACTGTGTGTTTTCTTTACACCAATCGATCATCTCATTATTTCGTGCATAAAAGTATTAAGATATAATTATCAAGAAATTAATAGTTCACGAGATATTTCATATTTTATGTTGAAATATAATATGATAAAGTATGAAATATCTCGTAAAGTACTGATTTTTCAGTAATTTTACTTTAATACTTTTATATACAGAATAATTAGAGAAATCATATTATGTAAAAAAATTATATAAGCAAAGGTTTATATAATTTTATTTGTACAGATTTAATAAAGTGGAGATGACCTTCGTATCTTTTTTGCGCCACCTAGAAAAAAAGCAACATGACCAAAATACGTTCTCCTCGAGACTGTCCCACTTTCATCTGAAACATTTTTTTGTATCATAAATAACATCGGAAAAAATTGACTGCGTTGATTATAATGAAACGTACTACACGCACACACACATACACATACACACGCGCGTGCGCCCGCGCGCGTGCATATATATGTATATATATACAATATGTCAATATGTATATTATATTTATACATATATACATATAGGGCAGAGTTGCCAAATGCATCGGTTTCATAAAGCGTACCTTTTCAATGTTTTATAGTTCCACTTAATAGAAGCAACATTTAGTAAAAATATGAAGTAAATAAGAAATGTGTAAGATGTATGTAGACAAAAAATGAACAAATTATATCTTGTTTTGTGCATGCTATTAACATTTTAAAAATCAGATACAATTGGTGTAAATTTTTGATCAATTTATATAGTTGATACTAATGTAACCATGCAATTTTTAATTGAATCGTTATTTTTTCCTGAAAGAAAATTTGTGATAGTATATTTTACATTTATTATATATATATTTTTACAATTATTATAAAAATTATATAATATTTTTATCATCTCTGTCAAGTTTCCTAAATCGTACCTAACCTAATCAGCATAAGAGTTCTTATATCGTATCGGTACAATTTAGGAACACTAATGTATCTA